CAGGTCAAACTGAACCACAGGTTATTCCTGTGGTTCAGTTTTCAGCAGCTTTGGCAATCTAGGGTTTCTTGGCGCAGGCGCCAGGCAACTTCAGACCAAGCGGATGCAATTTCTGTGTTCAGGAGGTATGTTGTGTTGTATTACCCCTTGAACCGAATTCTCAGCCGAATCTGCTCCCTTAGAAAAAGTCGATCAAAATCTGGTCTGTTTCCGGAAAACTGGGTAGTAATAATTGAATAGTGCCCAGACTTCTCCCAGTTTTCCCACTACTATGAAAACATTAGGTTTATGCAACAGTGACCCTATCACTTTCAGATGATGTGCTTTTGCTTTGAGTCACAATTTGACTCTTGCATTATGGATCGTCCAATCATTGTCAATACGATACGGCTGCTCACCACTCAACTCCCCGACGAGAACATGCTCACCTTCGACTTTTTTATACAGGTCTTATTATGGCTTTCATATTTAATGAATGACCTTTAGAATCTCCGCACAGTCGAAAGTTTCAGAGATTTGAAACGTTGGTCCTCGAGAGCCAGTTGGTTAGCCAAAGCGAAGATACCATGTTCGTGCAAGGTACGATATTCATTCATGCTGACATGTCATACACTCCTTATCTTTGAGACGGAGTAGGCTTTTGAGCATGGCATAGGACGGGTTACTCGTGGGATACTTCAATTTGAAACAACTGCTATCTTGTTCTGTGTTAGATGTAGACATGATTACGACTGCTCCAAAATGAAAATATCTCACGAAAACCTGGGCCGCCGCCATTTCAAAATCAAGTACGCAGCCACGCCTACCCGATCTCATGGATTTCGAGTCGAGACATCCTCCATTCAGTGCTTTTTTTCCGAATACTCTCCCGAGTTTAAAATTCCTCTCTTCTAAAATCTTGGCGCTGCTATCTGTCCTAGATGTTTTTCCTGAGCGCTAAGGAGGTTGCTGGATAGAACTTTTATTCGATAGCCTGACGTCTTGTCCAGGTCGCCGTCTTCATAGGCATATGCTTAAGTCAAAATTGAAGGCAACGCCCACGATCACCTATAATTAACTGAACTATTCATCTGCACGGGTATTGTGAACAAACCCTGTTTAAAGTGCTAAAGTATGAGATGAGGGCAGAAAATTGCTACAGTGACTCCGCTCGGGTTGTAGATGTCTATTAGATTCTTCTTCGTTTACATGCTCTACTGATGTTTACTCTGGCCTTCCTATACACTGGCTTGATTGCTTGTCTTCGCGTGCACGAGAGGGGCTTTAGTTGGAGTCCTTCTCGAGATTTCCTTCCTTTTTTTACAGAGCGAGTCAATAGCGCATACAATATTGTTCTGAAGTCACGTTACGAAAATTTCGCGCTCTTCGGAAATCTGCCTTTAAAGGCAGTGTGGCATGGGTTTCCTACTTAGCCTGAAATGCAGTAGGGCGCCTGTATAATGAGAAATGGAAATAAGCGGAGTGAAGACGGTCAAAATCGACGTGAAAAAGTCGTTTCTCAGTGACTTGTAAATAAGATTCGGAGCGAGTTCCCGTGCATCTTGCCACTCACCGCTACCGAGATACGCTGCATGTGCTGTAACCTAATGTATGCATGCAGGCATCACCGCCGTTCTAATCAATCCGTTTGCTTATAACTCTCAGGCAGTGAATGAATCGAGCGTCGAACGGTCGTCCTTTGTGGCGGCGGCCAAGGAAGGGTTTGGGACGTAAATTTTGTTTGCGCTCAATATGGAGCGTTTGTAGAGGTACCTTCCTGCAAAAGGTTCTACGCAGCGCTGTACTGAGTCACGAATTCTGTGAGCCCATTGTAGAGTCTAACACGGTGGTATATGCGATTTTATGGTGGCGAGTCCTTTAAGTGTTATCTGAGTCTGTCTTGCTAAGCGTCTTCCGTCTGCATTGCGGAGAGTTATACATTGCCGGTCGGCCAAGAGATTAATAGGTGCCAACCATGACAGTATCCTATAAATAAGCTCCCAGAAAGAAGTTGATAGAAGACCTGCGCAACACCCTGAAGACTCTCAGCAAGTGGGGCCGGGAGGACCATCGATATGGAGGTTCATCATGAGAACGAAGCCAATACAGCAGGATTCTGGCGTCGAAGCACTGTACGCGTAGGACAATGGAACCCTACAACGTGCGAGGACAACGCGACGCGTGAGGTCCAGCTGTAAGCGGTGGTCTTGGCGAGTGAAAGTACCGTGTTTGCATGATTCAATAATTCTAGTCTCTTGTGTCCTGATTTCGAGTGACGAAAAGGTGTGCAATCATTGCGCATGCAGAAACATGCCAAATACACGGATGCATTTCGCGACCACTTGATCGCGGAAACTGACGTTGAGCTGAACAACCGTATTTTTCAACTCAGGGAAATGTGCTCCCCTCAATATTTCATTCTCTTCTGCGTAATTGAACCTTCAATTCAGATCTGATGCATACGGATCCAATGAGTGAGATCTACCAGCGCAAGGTGAACAAAGCCAAGAAGGTGAGTCAAATCAGCAAGTGAATGAAGAGGGGTCACGAATTGCCATCAGTGCCGGGGTACCCACGGGTGAGGTCCTCATGGCTCATCAAAAAATTGATCTAAACCCTTATCTACCCACGTAACAAATAAAAAAAAACTTCTAGGACACCAGACTTTTCTTGCGCAAACGCTTTCTACTGGATGAGCCCTAGTCAGGGCACGCCATCGCGTAGTGATAGAATCGTGCAAAGTACGACCCCCTACCCATCCTACCTACCACTTTCCTAGATTTCCCCATCTTCCTACCACTTTTTCCAGTTTTTTTCCAGCATTTACCAGAATATTTCTAGTTTTCCCCAAAATTTTGGTGTCGAGCAACGGAGGGGAGAGGGGGTATGAAAACCAGTGAAAGGGGAAGAAGCGCAAAAAGTCCAACAACCGGGAAAAGTTTTTTCCCAACGCCGCAAATTCCTTGCAAAGACAAATACGACCCCCCCCCCTTTATAGCGTCCGTGAAACAAGAGAAATCAACTATCAAAAAAATTTTCTCAGACCAAATACGACCCCCTCCCTCGCGGTCAAATACGACCCCCGTGTGATTATCACAACGATGGCGTGCCCTGCCCTAGTTCTTCTATAAAGGCACAGCGACTGAAACATCCGATTTTATCAACGAAAGTTGACCTCTGACAAGGTGACTTGTATGCCGTTTATTGAGTTTGAAACTGATCTGGCAAAAGTTACTCCTGTATCTTTCATGATTACTATTACCATTCAGACAATCGAAGAGGCAAGTATAGCCAAATCAATCGTCAGATATCTACGAGAATATAATGCCCTAAAACATCAACTTTGTTATCAACCCAGCGAGCCTCCCGGTACGTTCGCTTTATTTCTTGCCTACAGTATCCAAATCCACCGTAATCCTTTGGCGATTTTGGCAGCTCTAAAACGGACGATCTTGTTTCAGCTTCAGTGTGCTATTTTTCATTGTGCTATTTTTTTACTGACACGAAGGATTTCTTAACTAATAAGTTCATAATTTATATTTTCTTCTTACTTAGCTGCAACGCATGGATAGGCAACGGTGACTTGTCACTGCAGAGCATTTGTCGACTATCAGAGCAGAGAAAGTCGTCACATACGATTTCTTTCTGTTTCTGTTGGGTTAAAAAAAGGGGGCTGGTTGTATTCAAATGAGTTAACTCTAACTGAGTGCAACGTCCGTGTGTTCAAAAGTGGAACGGGTCGTCAAGGGGGATGTCCGGCATCCTGCTGGTGATTGGTCCTGCAGCGGAAATGTACCTGCATGGCAAAACTATCATATAGTCCCGTTAAAATACTAGAACATCTATCCTCTTTTTTAAGATGCTTTAGACATCCCTTTTACGAGTGCGAGAGTAGTGGTAACGCACTGAGCGCCACGGAAACGGCTTCTCTCAAACGCGAGCTGACCTCAATAAACACTCCACTAATCATGTGAGCCACAAATTTTGGAGTCACAAACCCTTGCATTTTTACTACGTACTTTTGAGTGGAATATATAATAATACACTAAGTCTGAGGCGTAGGGTGTAGTGGACTGCGGTACGCTTACCACGTACGCGATCAGCGAATTAAATCCCGTATCCTCTCCCGCACAGTTCAACCAAGTCTTCTACCCCCGGGTGCGGTAAATTGGTACCAGATTGTCTGGGAGGATAAGGGCACTGACTTGTACATCGGCTGGCCCCCGCAAGTCATTGTATAGGCCACATCGCATTCAGTAAGCCACTAAATTGAAATACCGCGAGAAACACAAAGTGGGCGTGGTCAGAGGGGCGGGGCTTAGTGTGTAAATGCATGGCTATGAGTATATTCGTTTTGTGAAGATTGAATGTGAAAAGAACGACGTCGAAAAAAGTTATAAAAATTCAAAACTTGCGGTAACTTTACTGAAAGTGGGTGGAGTCATATCTGTGTCGATACTAATCCTTTTCAGTTGAAGTGTGTGTGCCAAACAGCAAAAGTGAAAAAAAATTCGAAGAAGCAGATTTCATGAAACATTCGGAAAACCGTGACCGCGCTGAGAAGTGGGCGGGGATATGGGGCGGGGCTTGCGGCAGTACCTAGTGTGGTCTAGTTATCAACTTCCCTTTGTGAGAGGTGTCCAGTTTGATTTGAATGTCCGTTTTGATTTGAAAAGTGTCCGATTCAAAGTGAGAATGGTACACATTACATCTGCTGACCGTCTTTGCAACTCATTGTGCAGCTACCAAG